GGCCATTCTGTATCTTCGGTGCCAGTGCTCGAAACGGTGAGAAAGCAGTTCACCGAACGGGGGGCCTCCATCCTGCCGAGTCCTGTGAGTCCACAGCCTGCATCGCGCCGCTCTGCTGTTTGCACCTCCTCACGACTTCCCTCGCTGCTTACATTTCTTTTCTCCCCTCAGGTGTCTCTCCTTCCCTTCTAACTGGCAGCAGCCCCCTTCACCTCAGGAGTGGGCTTTAGATCCGCTCTGCCAGGCAGCTTGCTAACTTCTGTGTAGCTCTCTGAAGCAGGTAGAGAAACATTTTGCTACATGCATGCCGCTCCCACCGCCTCTCTAGGGAACCCTCCGCTGTCCTGTGGTCCTTTGCCTCTGTCGCCTCCAATTCTGGCTCACAGACCCGCCCAGTTCACAGTACCATGCTGTCCCAGTACTGACCGAACAGCCCGGTCCTGGTCCCAGTGCGTGCAGCGTTCCCAAGATGGAATGCCAGGCCTTCCCTCCGCCTTGTTCCAAGTAAACTAGACGGCCAAAGCCAGCAGGACACTCATGCGGCCAATCCAATCCTGATAAATAGCTGGCACGAGCAGCATTTTTACGCCACAGACACTGATCGAGCCGAAGAACACGTGTCAGGGAGATACTGATCCTTTTTCCAGAGCATTTTTGTTATTGTTGTTCTGACCTGACTCCTGGATGTCCAGAGCCTTCCTCTTCTTCCCAGAATCCTTGCTGTTAAGAGAACTCCCTGTGCCTTTGGGTCCCCTGGTAGCTTAGCCTTTCTCTAAACCAAATGAGACTGGGTTTAACTGGAATGGTGAGCAAATCGTTTGGGGGTGTCATCGATGGTGTCAGATGTGTGTGTTGGGTGACGTGTGCTTCTCTCTGTTCGTTTCCATTCCCCCCCCTCACCCACGAGTTTGCTTTTTTTTTTTCAGTGTCTAGAAATTTTTGAAAGCTCGAATGTCCCAGATACGAAAAGGAACATGTTTTCTGTATTCCCCCCACCCCCTTCCCATCCAGCACAGATAGCAAAGCGCTTTCCAAGTGTGTCACGTCATAAAAGCAAAGCCCGTGGACGGGGCTCTCGGCGCCGTCTGCCGAGGTGCAGCTGTGTGTCTAGGTGACTCTCTGTCCCCCCGGGGCCGGGGCATCGCGTCCAGCTCTGGCCGTGGGCCCCACTGGGTACAGAGGCGCACGCGCTCCTTCCTCTCTTGCAGGACCTGGCGTGGCTGGATACCTTACCGCGGGTACATCGTCAGCCGTCATGTCCAACCTGCCGCCTCCTGTAGACCACGAGGCGGGGGACCTCGGCTACCAGACTTGAAACAAACACTCGACGTGCGGTGACCGGCGCAAAGGCCAGTGCCGCCTCCACATTCCTCCAGCCGCCACGTTGAAGCAAACTCTCTTAACTGCCTTTCTCCTGGTCTCACGACAGTGTTACTCCTTTTTCTATGAATATATTTTTATTTAGGAAAACGTCAGTGATTCTGATCGTCTCCACGTGACGAGAAAAGCACTCTGTGGATCACCCTAAGTGGTTACCCGAGAAGTGTGTTCGTTTTTTTTTTTCTTCTCCCCTTGACGTACGTAAGCACATTTTGTTCCTTTGTACCTGTTTACAAGACTGTGAATCAAAAAAATGAAACTTACTTCCTAGTTTTTATAATTTTGAATTAGTGTGACTGTGGGATTAAGCTACAGTCTCCAGAAATTGGGCTAAGTCACCCATCCCCAGAAACTCCCCCCCCCCCCCCCCCCCCAGGTTTCTGCGGCCATCTCCCTGGCACTGAACACCATTAGGTTTTGTCCCCCGTTACCTGTTCACCGGTGTCCCTGTCATTAACCTCCCGAGAGCGCACATCGGTATGCATACCTGGCTTTACCAAACTGAATGAAGAGGAACTCGTGCAAAAAAAAAAAAGTAAAAATGGATGTCAAGATGTTAATGTAAGAGATTAGTGTAATTGTGAAATGTTCTATACATTATCAACTATATAAAGCTTTCTATATTGAATGTACATTATACAGATCGTTCCTATGTGTACATAAAAAATTTTAAAAATAAAGGGATTGACTGCTTTGTTAATGAGATATGTTTGTTCCCGTTTCATTCCCCCCCTCTCCCCCCCACCCCCGCCCCCGCCCCACAGAAAACCCCACCTACCCATGTTACTTCTAAGACAGACTTGAGGGCGGCTCCCGCACCAGCTCCTCCCTTGGTTGGCAGCTGTTGTCGATGCTTTCCTTAGTCCTAGCCCCATCTGAGTTTCCACAAGCAGGTGGCACCCCTCCTCTTCCGGTGCCAGGCTGGTCATGAGTACTTAAACGTGTGATATTTAAATCTCAACCCTCATTCTGAGGTTTTCAAACAATTAAAAGGGGCAGAGCATATGTGGAGTGACAGCCCCTCCAATGTGACCCTGTGGAAATAAATACACAAACACTTGTTGCACAGCCACGTGGCTTAGGGGTTTGGTCCATCACAGCTGCAAATCACTAGCTCAGAACTGTCAGATTTACCTGGCAACACTGAGAAACCGAGAGCCATAGCAGTCCCCACCGCAGTGTTTTGTTTTCCTGAACACTGAGAGAACATACATATTGTAAATACTTGGGAGAGACCAAGTCCCATTTCCTCCATCAGCGCTGATAGTCCCATACCAAATGGCGGCAGATCTTTAGGGGATAGTTAGAGTGACACGTGTCACACAGCCTCACTTCAAATCCTCAGAGCAGATCTTAGGGTTTGCTAAGGATGTCTGTCAGAGTGACTGAGACAGGTCTGGGACTTAGCTTGTAGAGAGCTGGTGGCTGCTTTTCCTGACGCGGAGGCCCAGGAGGGGGCCTTTGCCACGCCCCAGAGAAACGTTTTTGGTCACCTAGTAATTGGAGGCTTGTGCAGGTAACTTGGGCTTGGGGAGGAAGGCTTCCTTCCCCTCACTCTCTCATGGGGCATGCTTGGGTGGGGCTCAGCTGGCAAAAATAATGGTTCTTTCCTCTTCTGCAGTACCTTTGCTGACTTGCAATTCTTTTTTTCTTCTTTTTCCTCCAGTCCTGGGACTTGAACTCAGGGCCTGAGCTGCTTCTAGCGCCCGACCACTTGAGCCACAGCGCCACTTCCAGCTTGTCCTGTGTACATGATACTGAGGGAATCGAACCCTGGGCTTTGTGCGTCTACTGCTGAGCCATGTTCCCAGCCCCTGGCTGCTTGTTCTGAACCAGTCTACCTTACTCTCTCCCCTGGCCAGTGGCCACATGTGAGTCTGTCACAAGTACCTAGGGCTGTGCTCCAGGGACAGGACCTGGCCGGGAGTCATTCAGTTTTTATTTTAAATTCTCTTCCCTGGGACCTCCCTACAGCCCTCTGGTAATTCTATTTTTTTCCCTATTATTCATTCCCTGTCTGGTGAGAAAAACGATCACGATGGCCAGGCCTTTGGAGATTCTGATCCGAATGGATCTGGGGAAAGTCCAGAAGGACATCGTATTTTTGTTGTTGTTTTCCTTTCAGGCTTTCCAGAACAATTCCCCCTCCCTCCCCCCCTGCCCAGCCAAGGTTGCTGTGACTTCGATCAACTTTCCGAAGGTGACATTACCCAGAGTCCACGGGAGGGGGGGGGGATTCCTAGCGAAGAGGACCCAGGTGAGGAGAGAGGCGGCGGGGTGCGGAAGAGACGGGGGAGGGAGAGGAGGAGGAGGAGGAGGACGGAGATGTCAGCTCCGGCATGGGCTCTCCACCCCCCCCCTCGGCCCCCCCTCACCGCGGTCTGGGTTCGCCCAGCACCGGGCGGGCGTCCTTGGCGTCCACGCATCGCGCAGGCCTAAGGATAGGGGCAGAAGAATCCGTCAGGAACGGGGCTCCCGGGCTCCCACGCGCCTGCGTGTGCGGCCCCTGGGCGCCGGGTCCCAGAGAGCACCGGCCCGCGGTTCCGCCACGCCCACTCGGGGGCCACGCCCGCTCAGAGGCCACGCCCACTCAGAGGCCACACCCCCGCTGAGCTCTCTTCCCCGCCCATTCCGCCTCCTTCGCCCCGCTTCATCCACTCAGCCCCGCCTACAGGGCTTCCTCGCCCAACCCCACACTTGGGCCCTCCCTACTCAGTGCCCCGCCCACCCCAGCCATGCCACGTCCCCTCCCATTGCCCCGCCCCTCTTAGTTCATGCCCCGCCGCACCCACCGCGCTGCCCCGCCTATCCCACAGCCCGCTCTACTCTACCCCGCCCAGGCCCCGCCCACCACGCTGCCCCGCCCATCCCACCACCCGGCTCCCCTCTACCCGCCCAGGCCCCGCCCACCACGCTGCCCCGCCTATCCCACCGCCCAGCTCCCCTCTACCCCGCCCAGGCCCCGCCCACCACGCTGCCCCGCCCATCCCACCGCCCGGCTCCCCTCTACCCCGCCCAGGCGCCGCCCACCACGCTTGCCCCGCCCATAGCACCACCCGGCTCCCCTCTACCCCGCCCAGGCCCCGCCCATACCACCGCCTGGCTCCTCTCCACTCCGCCTGGGCCCCGCCCACCACGCTGCCCCGCCCATACCACCACCCAGCTCCTCTCTGCCCCGCCCAGGCCCCGCCCACCACGCTGCCCCGCCTATCCCACCGCCCGGCTCCTCTCCACTCCGCCTGGGCCCCGCCCACCACGCTGCCCCGCCTATCCCACCGCCCGGCTCCTCTCTGCCCCGCCCAGGCCCCGCCCACCACGCTGCCCCGCCTATCCCACCGCCCGGCTCCTCTCTGCCCCGCTCAGGTCCCGCCCACCACGCTGCCCCGCCTATCCCACCGCCCGGCTCCTCTCCACTCCGCCTGGGCCCCGCCCACCACGCTGCCCCGCCCATACCACCACCCAGCTCCCCTCTACCCAGCCCAGGCCCCGCCCACCACGCTGCCCCGCCTATCCCACCGCCCGGCTCCTCTCCACTCCGCCTGGGCCCCGCCCCGCGCCCCGCAGGCCCTGGTGCTGTGGCGCTCCTCAGGTCCAAGGCGGCCGCCGCCGCCTCCGCCGCCATGGGCACGGCCTCGTCGCTCGTGAGCCCCGCGGGGGAGGTGATTGAGGACACGTACGGGGCCGGCGGCGGCGAGGCCTGCGAGATCCCCGTGGAGGTGAAGCCCAAGGCGCGGCTGCTGCGCGGCTCGCTGCGGCGGGGCGCGGCGGGGCCGGCGGCGGGCGCGGCCGGGCTGCCGGGCGCCAGCTTCCGGTCCACCGGCTCGTCGGTGCCCGAGCTGGAGTGCGCGGCGGCCGAGCTCGAGCGGCTTCGGAAGGAGTACGAGATCTTCCGGGTCAGCAAGGGCCAGGAGGTGCTGTCGCTGGGCCGCCGGGAGGCGCAGCTCGACTCCGAGAACCGGCGGCTGCGTGCCGAGCTGCAGGTGACGTCGGGGGAGACTGAGGCACGGGGAGAGGGCGGGGAGACTGAGGCACGGGGCGGGAGACTGAGCCACAGCGAGACTGAGGCACGGGGAGACTGACGGGGGGAGAGACTGAGGCACGGAGAGGGGGGAGCTGAGGCATGGGGAGACTGAGGCACGGGGCGGGGGGGGGCAGGCATGGGGCAGGAGACTGGGGGGGGGGGCGGAGGGATGTAAGGAAACTGAGGCCCGGGCGAGGACACTGAGACCTGGGGAGGTGGGGGGAACTGCGGCCCGTGAGGGAGTCTGAGGCCAGGGTCAGGGAAACTGAGGGCGGGGGAGGCCAGGGGAGACTGAGGGGGAGGGGTTGGGAGACTGAGGCACGCCCCCAGGCTCCCCAAAACCAGTCATGGCTGAAAGTTGAGGGGATATATCCCCTCCTTCCCCCTCCCCCGGCAGCGGCCCCACGCTAAGGCTAAGGCCTGACTATGTTGAGGCTTGTGTTCTGGGGTTTGAACCCAGGCCTTGGTGCTTTACCACTTGAACCACGCGGGCAAGTCCAAGTTCTTTTTGTTTGCCTTTGAACTTCAACCCCACAGACCTCAGGCTCCTGAGTAGGTGGGAATTACAGGTATGGGCCGCCGGTGCCCTGCTGTGTTTTGAGATAGGGTTTCCCTAATTTTACCCCTGTGACAGGCGCACACACGTGTGTGTGTGTGTGTGTGTGTGTGTGAGGACAAGCCCTGTTGTCCTCATTCGTGTCAGTAACAGCAAAGACACAGCAGCTTGTCACTGGTAAAAGCAAACAGGTGATTCCAGTGCTAGGATGTGTAGCACAGACTTGAGAACGCAGAGTTCTAGAGAAAAGGAGGTGTGTCTGTGGAGCGGTAACAAGGTAAATCATTCCAGGCACTTCAGAAAACCTATCAGAAGATTCTCCGAGAGAAAGAAAGCGCTCTAGAAGCAAAATACCAAGCAATGGAGAGAGCGGCTACGTTTGAACAGGACCGGGATAAAGTGAAAAGGCAGTTCAAGGTAAAGCCGTACACACGCCCGCCCCCAGACCCACAGAGTACACACGGGATGCTGGACTCCAAGTCAGTGGTAGAAGTCACAGAAGATTGTGAGAGCTAGGGAAGAGCGTGTCTTACAATATTCAGTTGACTGGGTGACGTGGAGGTAGCGTCAAAGAACAGATGCAAAAGTGAGCATTTTAATAGAGATGATTTTTACTTTTTGTGTTTGATTTTTATGCCTGTGCTGGGTCTTGAACTCAGGGGCTGGATACTGTCCCTTAGCTTTTTTTCACTCAGGGCTGACACTCCAGCACTTGAACCACAGCTCCATTTCCAGCTTTTTTTTTTGGTCCTGGGGCTTGAACTCTGGGCCTGGATGCTATCCCTGAGCTTTTTCACTCAAGGCGAGTGCTCTACCACTTGAGCCACAGCGCCACTTCCGGTTTTCTGGTGGTTCATTAAAGAGTCTCACAGACTTTCTTGCCCCCGCTGGCTTTGAACCTCAGTCCTCAGATCTCAGCCTCCTGAGTAGCTAGGATAACAGGAGTGAGCCACCAGTACGTGGCTGGTATAAACTTTTGATTGAGGAACGGGTAGGGAAGTTTGAAAATTAAACCTGTCCTTTTAAAAGATTTTCAGGGAGACGAAAGAGAATGAGATTCAGGACTTACTGCGAGCCAAGCGCGAGCTGGAGAGCAAACTTCAGAGGCTCCAGGCTCAGGGCATCCAAGTGTTCGACCCCGGGGAGTCTGATTCAGACGACAACTGCACGGATGTCACTGGTACGTGTGTTCCCTGCTTGTGACAGTGACCTTTTGACATCACCGCGGTGATGGTAGACTTTGAGTGACGCTGTGTTCCTTTGACTCACCTTTATTAGTGAGTTACTGCATGGGCCACTGACCCAAATAGACTGACACGTCCATTCTCCCCTCCCCCTCTCTCCATCTGTCTCTTCCTGTCTTTGTCTCTGCATCTCTGTCTGTCTCGTCTCCCTGAGCTCTTCAGTTCAAAGCTAGCACTCTACCACTTGAGCCACCGCGCCACTTCTGGTTTTCTGGTGGTTCATTGGAGATTAAAGCTTCACAGACTTTTCCTGCCTGGGCTGTTTGGGCTGGTTTTGAACTGTGATCCTCAGATCTCAGCCTCCTGAGTAGCTAGGATGACAGGCGTGAGCCACTGGCGCCTGGAAATTTTGTAGTGTTTCTTTTTAATTGTTTAATTAAAACTGCTGTTGAATGCATGTGGCAAGGTGTCAATAACTTGGTCTTTTCACAAGATGCCAATCGTTTGGGTTGCAGCTGCTGGTACCCAGTGTGAAGACTGGGCGGGTGGAGCCCTGGGCAGCGAGCCCTCCCTGGGGAGCATGGTCCAGCTCCAGCAGTCCTTCCGAGGGCCTGAGTTTGCACACAGTTCCATCGACGTGGAGGGCCCCTTCGCCAACATCAACAGAGGTAATGCAGGCCGCTGGCCCCGTGACCTGGCTTAGGGGTTAGGTCGGGGATGTGTGTAATACCTGCCACGGGAGGTGCCATCAGCAGGCTGCAGGTGGTATTTGTGTTCTGTGTGTTCTCGTGCACTGATGTGTGACCCACCAGGGTTGCTGGGGTGACCTGATTTCTTATTTATTTTTGTTGGTTGTGGGGCTTGAACTCTGGGCCTGGGCGCCATCCCTCAGCTCTTCAGCTCAAGGCAAGCAAGCGCTCTACCACTTGAGCCACAGCACCACTTCCAGTTTTCTGGTGGTTCATTGGAGATCAGAGTCTCACGGATTTTTCTTGCCCTGGCTGGCTTTGAACTGTGATCCTCAGATCTCAGCCTCCTGAGTGGCTAGGATGACAAGCATGAGCCACCAGTGCCAACAATGCTCCAGCCTCCCTGGCCAACCAGGTCTAGTGAGTGCCGCTGTTCTGAGTCCTCAGACTGTGACGTAGATGAACTGCAGAATAGTAGGTTTTATCTTTTCCCTCTGCTCCTTTATGATAGTAAAGGTTAGAACATGTTACAAAGCAATTGTAAATTAAAAAAAAAAAACAGCTGTCAAGCACTGGTATCTCATACATGTAATCCTCGCTCTTCAGGAGGCTGAGATCTGAGGATCCCACTTCAAAGTCAGCCCAGGCAGTGAAATCCATGAGACTCTCAATCAACCACCACAAAAGCTGGGAATGGAGGTGTGGTTCAAGTGGTGGAGTGCCAGCCACGAGTGAAAAGGCCAAGTGAGAATTCAAGGTCTTGAGTTCAAGCCCCAATGCTAGTCAAGCCCCAATACTAGTGTGCACGTGCGTGTGTGTGCGCGCGCACACACACACACACACACACACAAAGTTTCAGTTAAAAGAATTGTCTTAGTATTTTCTTTTCTTTCTTTTTTTTTGGGGGGTCCAGTCATGGGCCCTGAACTCGGCCTGGGTGCTGTCCCTCAGCTCTCAGCTCAAGGCTAGTGCTCTACCACTTGAGCCACAGCGCCACTTCTGGCTTTTTTTTTTTTTTTTTTCTGCTTATGTGGTCCTGAGGAATCAAACCCAGGGCCTCGAGCATGCAAGGCAAGCGCTCTACCACTGAGCCACCTTCCCAGCCCTCATCTTAATATTTTCATATACTTTAATTATCTACTTTTTTTTCAAGAAGCTGTAAAGCTCACAGAAGCTTAGCATCAGTGCAGACCGAAGGAGTCCTAAGTAGCTTTATTCCTCTTTCTGAAACTATTTATTTTTCTATTAGCAAACTGAAATCATTTGCCTAAGCCGGGCTGGAGTTTTACTTCTCACCAAATAGCATAAAGACCACTTTCCCCTTGATTGTCCTTCTCAAGCGTGGTGTAATCCAAGAAGGTAGAACACTAGGTCATCCTGGGAATACGAGGCTCCCACAAGTAGCAAAATCACAGCAATTCACACAAAACAGAGCCGGAGCCGTGGGCACCCGGGGGAAGACCTCATGACCTTCACCGCTTCCAGCGTGGGGAGTGTTTGAGGTTAGAGAGTTGACAGTTTTCTAGAAATGATGTTCCTGCTGAGCTGCGAGCTCAGATCCCGTACCAGGCACCTGTTGTTTCCGTGAATCACGCGGTCGGGGTGTTCGGGCGCTTCTCCGTGACTGATGGTCGCTTTCTTTCCAGACGACTGGGACGCTGCGGTGGCGGGTTTGTTGCAGGTGACTCCCTTGCTCTTGAACTGTCTGTGGAGTAACTCTGTCAGGTGCTACCTCCTCTACACAGATGAGACGCAGCCGGAAGTGGATCTTTTCCTTCAGGTGAGGGTGATTTGCCAACTCTCTATCCATTGCTTGAAGACACTCATTACTTCGTCATCTAATTTATTACGGACCAACCCCTTTTACAGTAAATATGTCTGCCTTATTAAGGTTAGTGTTTTGTCACGGGGAAGGCTTTGAGCTATGCAGATCTAATGGATCTATATTTGATTTTCTTAGAGCAACAAGACATTAAGTGTCCCTGACCAAAATGTTAACAAAAAAAACTACCAAAACAAACTTTTGGAAACTATTGGGAAATACCCAGTATACTTCATCTTTACTTTTTAATTAGATGTAATATGCTCGTATGTATCTTTCTTACTTTCAGGACTATGCCCCTAAACTCAAAAGAATGTGCGAGACCCTGGGGTATTTCTTCCATGTGATTTATTTTCCAATTGATGTTGAAAATCAGTACCTCACCCTAAGAAAATGGGAGCTTGAGAAGAGTTCTGTAGTTATTTTGTTTGTCCATTCAACATTGCCAAGGTAAGCTGGGGGAAAAAAAAAATCTGTCATTTACTAGAAACATGAACCGTGAATGAAATTGAGTTTGTCGTGTGAACCTTAAATGTTAGTTCTGATTGCATTCTTATAACAAAACAACTAGGGGAAAAATCAATCCTATAACAACTTCACATTCTTGGCAATGGTGACTAGTGCAGCAGTGAACATGGATGTATAGGTGTCTTTACAGTATCCTGGCTCATGATGCTCAGGGTAGATGCCCAGGGGTGGTATGGCCAGGTCGTAGGGAAGGTCTGGGTTTAGTGTTTTGAGAGACCTCCAGTCTGCTGTCCAGAGGGGTTGTATTCGTTTACTTTCCCATCAACAGTGCAATAATCTTCCTTTTTCCCCCATATCCTTGCCAACATGTGTTGTTATTCGAATCGACAATGTTGACTGATCTAACTCTGGGGTGAGATAGAAAAGAGTTGTTTTGATTTACATTTCCTTTATGGCTAGGGGTGTTGAACATTTCCTCCTATGTTTCTTTGCCACTCTTCCCTCTTCTCCTGAGAAGTCTCTCCCTAGCTCCTTTGCCCAGTTAGTGATTGGTTTATTAGCTTTGCGAGGGGTTACTTTCTTGAACTTCTAATATCCTTTTGGATATTAGGCCTTTGTCTGATATATTGCCTGTAAAGGTCTTCTTACAGTCTGTTGGCTGTTTTTCTAGTTAGTAACCATGTCCTTTGTTATACAGAAACTTCATTTTTTTATTTTTAGTTTTTTTGTTGGTCATAGGGCTTGAATTCTGGGCCTTGGCGCTGTCCCTCAGCTCTTCAGCTCAAGGATAGCAGCTCTGCCACTTAAACCACAGTGCCACTTCTGGTTTTCTGGTAGTTCATTGAAGATAGTCTCACAGACTTTCCTGTCTGGGCTGGCTTTGAACTGCGATCCTCAGATCTCAGCCTCCTAAGTAGCTAGGATGACAGGAGTGAGCCACCAGTGCCTGGCTGAAACTTTTTATTTTGATATAATCCCATATTAAATCTGCAAATAAGGTAGGCTTGCGGTGGTAGTTCTTTCCTAGACACACACACACACACACACACACACACACACACAACTTGCCTCTCTAGATCACTTTCATTTACCATTTCCTAGAAAGGAAAAGTAGTTGCACTGTTTCTGTGCTGTAGAAAAACCTCAGCAGATTATTTTGTGTCAGAAATAGAGCTCTGCTTCCCCAGGCCTTTCCTGGCTCCTTGTTCTTGTGGCATCAGCTCTGCTGAGGGTGCTTACGGGAGCCAATGGCTCACCACCACAATGCACTGTAACCCAAGAAAGGCCCATTTTCTACGCAGCTTTTTATGGGAAGACTGTGAAGAGGCTTTTCTGAAAAACACAGAAGGGAAACCACGATTGATTTATCATCTCTTGGAAGATGGGAAAGTCACTTCTGACTCTGTCCAGCAGTTGATCGAGCAGGTTTCTAACTTAAACAACACCAGCAAAGCCAAGGTAAAAATCCATAGGAGTTTTTTTTGTTTTGTTTGTTATTTATTTATTTATTTTTTTCTGTGGGTCGTGGGGCCTGAATTCTGGGCCTGGCGCTGTCCCTCAGTTCTTTAGCTCAAGGCAAGCGCTCTACCACTTGAGCCACTGCTCCACTTCCAGTTTTTTCTGCTTATGTGGTGCTGAGGACTCGAACCCAGGGCCTCATGCATGCAAGGCAAGCACTCTACCACTGAGCCACCTTCCCAGCACCTTGTTTTGTTTCTGAAGAATGTGCTTGGCAGAGGAAAGCACCAAAGAGAAGGTGGGCGCATGGGCCAGGCATGCTTGGAGGTTGAAAGGGAGCTCGTGTGGCTGGGACAGGTGAAGGACGAGGAAAGGAGGAGAGTTGTCCCCACTTGATCCTGAAGAACATCAAGAACAGGATTGCGGACTGGGAAGGTGACTCAATGGTAGAGTGCTTGTCTAGCATGCATGAGGCCCTGGTTCAATTCCTCAGCACCACATCAGCAGAAAAAAGCTGGAAGTGGAGCTGTGGCTCAAGTGGTAGTGTGCTAGCCTTGAGCAAAAGAAGTTCAGGGACAGCGTCCAGGCCCTGAGTTCAAGCGCCAGGATTGGCAAAACAAAAAGAACAGGACCGGAGGGACATGGCTTTTGCAGGTCTTGGCGTGGTTCTCGGCCAATGATCTCTTTGGTTGCTGTGTAGAGTTGATCAGAGATTGGCGGGAAGGGGATACAGTCTGCAAGCAATAGGCTGGTCCTGGGAGATGCATGACATCCTGTATCATGTATATATCCTCTGTCTCCAGAGCTGGGTGATCATTCTGCCTAGGAGAAGCAGGATGCATGCCTTTGTGTCTCATTGCCCTGTTACACTGTTACTCTTTGTTGATCTCAGACAAATTACTTACCTTGCCTCAGTTTCCCCCTCTGTCAAGATGGGGTAATGATAGCTCCCTCACGAGGCTGTCATGAGAAGCAATTAGCCTATGTGCATGAAGCACTGGGGGCGGGGAGAGGGGTTCTTCTGGACTTGTGACCCCAGTTCAGTGTTTACCACCCTGGCCTCTGTGCTGTCTTCTTACTGTTGCGCCTCTTTTCTGTTTGAACCCTCCCAGATCATTGGCCACTCAGGAGACCCCGCAGAGGGAGTATACAAAGTGTACATCTGTGTGGAGAAGATCATCAAGCAGGTAAACACATGAGTATGGTAAATCGCCGTGCATCTCTCGTGGCACAGCCGATGCAGAGAAGCTGGTGGTCAGGCCCATGTTAGCCACCATTTTGGTTAAGTCATTGTGCGAGCTGGCCTGGAACAAGATCCTCCTGTTTACACCTCCCACAAAGCTGGGACGTCAGGCATACGCCAGCCACCATGCTCAGCCATCCATTTGTTCTCGCAGGTTACTATACAAAGACCAGAGGTTTGGCCTCGCCCTCCTCACGAGGCGGAGCCCATGGAAGGCTCAGACTTCCTGCTGTGGGGTTTCGGTTCTCAGTCACTTTTCTCCTCCCCTTGTTCTCTGTGTTTAGGACATACTGGGCTTTGAAAACACAGACTTAGAAACCACCGAGCTGGGCAGTGAAGATTCCATGGTGGACGAAGATGACCTGGGGGATGTCCTCTGGGACATTCACGACGAACAGGAGCAGATGGAAATGTTTCAGCAGGCCTCTAGCTCAGCCCAGGAGCTGGGATTCGAGAAAGTAAGTGTTCTGACTCTACTCCAGGTTCCACTTAAAGGCTGTCCTATGACGATGTTCCCCCTGGAGCGCAGACACGGTTTATGGGCATGTTCTCTCGAAGTCTGATTGTCCATGTGGAGACATGCCTGAGTCTAGACAGTATGAGAGATGTGTGACATGCAGATATGTTTGTGGCTAGGCACTGGTGGCTTCCGCCTGTCATCCTAGCTACTCAGGAGGCTGAGATCTGAGGATGGTGGTTCAAAGCCAGCCCGGGCAGGAGAGTCCTTGAGACTCTTATCTCCAATAAGCCACCAGAAAACTGGAAGTAGCACTGTGGTTCAAAGTGGTAGAGCGCTTGCTTTGAGCTGAAAAGCTGAGGGACAGCGCCCAGGCCCAGAGTTCAAACCCCATGACCAACAAAAAAAACAAGAAAAGAAGAAAAGCTGTGAGCACCAGACATGCAGTGCTGTAGATCAGGACTTCTCATTTTTTCATCTTCTACAATTCTGGGATTGAGATAGCTAGGACACTTGGTAAAAATCGCACTGCTCTCGTCTTCCAAATATTGAGTGTTTGAAAACTGAACCCAAGAAAAAAGATCATGCACTCAGCCAATCAATCCTGTGTCTGTGTACTGAGCAGCCCTAGTAGCTAAACAAATAGATTGATCCTGACACATACAAAGATAGATGTCTGCATTCAGAAAGTACTCAGGAGCCAAGCACAGTAGCGCATGCCTGTAGCCCTGGCTAGTCAGGGCACTGATATCAGAAGATCGTGGTTTTGAGGCCAGACCAAGCAAAAAGTATGAGTCACACCTCCCTTTCCCCCCCTGGGCACACGCATTGTATGATTTGGGGGACAGAACACCTGGATGTGTGCACCCCATCCTCCTCCCCCATTCTTAATTCACTGTCACAGGTATTTTCAGGAGCCACAAGGACAGACAGGGCCCAGGCCCTGGCCAGCGGTGGGGGAATTCTTTCTTCCTGGAAGCATATCCCCGTGTTTCCAGACAATCATCAGAAGCTGTGCCAAGGCACCCACTGCCTCCTAATGCAGGTTCCTCTCTCGTTTCCAGTATTACCAACGCCTGAATGATCTGGTAGCGGCCCCAGCCCCGATTCCACCGCTGCTGGTGTCCGGAGGACCCGGTTCTGGCAAGTCCCTTCTTTTATCCAAGTGGTACGAGATGCAGCGCGCTCAAATCGTTCTTGACAGCCCCACACGTGGCCTGAGTTCCCACTGCATGCGGGCCCGTACCAAACACGAAGCTCAGCAGAAGAGGAGAGCGGGTTGTCAAATTCAGACGTCCGAGAAAAGATGCAGGATGAGGAAGGGATAGGAAATGTGAGCATGTGTGTTTATGTGCGGAAGCGGCACGCAGGAGCACGGGGTAAGGAGTAGGCGGGGTGTGACATGGAATTAGGCAGATCACACTGGGAGCAGCTCCTCTTGGCAGTTACTGGCTTCATCTTCAACGTTGCACTGAGATGTAAAATAGGAGCCGGGGCGCCCGTGGCTCATCCCAGTCATCCTAGCTACTCAGGAGGCTGAGATCTGAGACTGGCGGTTCAAAGCCAGCCCCCAACAGAAAAGTCCATGAGACTCTTATCTTCAATGAAGCACCAGAAAACCAGAAGTAAAGCTGTGGCTCATCGAAGAGCTGAGGGACAGCGCCTAGGCCCAGGGTTCAAGCCCCACAACGACAAAAAAAGAAAAAAGAAAAGATTTAAAATATATGAAGCAAGACAGATATAGACAAAAGCCCTATGAACAGTAAAATATATTCTAAGGAACATCAAAATTATCAGTAAGGGTTGGGAAGGTGGCTCAGTGGTAGAGTACTTGCCTCATATGCATGAGTACCTGGGTTCGATTCCTCAGCACCACAGAAAAAGTTGGAAGTGGTGCTGTGGCTCAAGTGGTAGAGCCCTCGCCTTAAGCTGAAGAGCTGAGGAACAGCACCCAGGCCCAGAGTTAAAGCCCCACAACTGACCAAAAAAAAAAAAAAAAAAATAGAAAAAGAAGCTAAGGAGCATTTATATTTCATTATAGTATTTTTTCAAGTGAGGATACTTGGCTTTTATTCACAATTATTCACTTCATAGTGTCAGCTCATGTCATTGATACTTGCCCTTTAAAGTGACACATAGGGCTGGGAAGGTGGCTCAGTGGTAAAGCGCTTGCCTTGCATGCATGAGGCCCTGGGTTCGATTTCTCAGCACCACATAAGCAAAAAGAAAAAACCCGGAAGTGGCACTATGGCTCTTTAGCTGAAAAGCTGAGGGACAGTGCCCGGGCCCACAGTTCAGGCCCCACGACTGGACCCCCTCTTCCCCCCCAAAAAAACAAGACACGTAGTAAATATTTTCCCTCCTAACAGACTTCCCCTGGGGGCAGCCTATTTTTAGTGTCTGACTAGTGCCATAACCTCGGCCCCAAACCACGTTAGCTTGAGTGAACTAACCTGAAGTCTAGGGTTTCAAACAAGCCTGCAGTGGTGAACACAATGTACAAACACCTGTGACACAGAATGAACCAGAAACCCCGTGTCCCCACGAACAACCCAGGGACACCACTCACAGCCCGGCAGCCCTGACATCCAGCTCTCCACAGATGCCTGTGTCGTGGATGGCAGGCGAGTGGCATGGCTTATATGTAAGCGTGTGTGTCTTGTCTTTCAGGATTCAGCTGCAACAGAGCACGGCCCCCGGCACCCTGATCCTCTCCCACTTTGTGGGCAGACCCAAGTCCAGCAGCGCGGAGGCCACCTCCATCATCAAGAGGCTGATGCTCAAGGTAGAGGGGGGCTGGTCTTCCGGACTGGGGAGCATCCGTCAGTACCCAAGTGGGCGGGGAGCTGATTCCTCAGCTGTCTCCCAGAACCCCTCAGATCCAAAAGCCGAAGCTTTCTGATCCCACACCACCTCCCCTCCTCCCTCGTGTCAGCTTCCCAGCGTTCATTTCCTTAAGCTGTCTTCTAATTGTTCAGAAGGGCTGTTACAGCATGAATTTTTCACTGTAAGCCACTGTAGCCCAGCTGACCGTCTGCAAATACGTGTGTCTGTGTATGTGTGATCCTGCTTGTATTCACCCAGAGGGCGTGTTAGGTCTGACTTCCATAGAGCAGGGAAAGCAGGCCCCTCTGTCTTCCTGAACCTGGCTCACACTCAGTACGATGCTTGTTTCCAGAGCCATCCGTGCTTCTGCAAATGACATATTATCATTCTTCCTGATGAGTAAAATTCCATTGATAGATATATTGACAGATATTGATAGATATCAATATGATTGAGAGATCTATTGATATAGATCTATCAATATCTGTATAGATATCTGTCAATATCTACAGATCTATCAATATATAGATACACATATATCTATATGTATCTAATACTATATGTCTATCTATATATATATATCAATACCATTGATAGGTCCATATGTATAGCTGTATCTACATTTATATTGGTACATGTCAATATCTATAGATATAAATATATATAAATATAGCTATATAAATCTGTAGATTTATATACATACATATATCTACAGTTGAGAGATCTGTCTATAGATCTATGTATTTGTTGATAGATATTGACACATATCTACATATATATTTATATAGATATACATATATCTATATTTATAGATATTTATACAGATGTATGTAAATGTATATCAATACAGTTGATAGACCTATTTATATCTATAGATCAATAGCTATTGATATTGTTATATATCTGGCTACATAGATATACATATCTCTCTGTATCTGATATATCTATATCTATAGGTGCATATATGAGATACATGTCTATACCTCACACATTTTCTTGACCATTCATAGGCATCTGGGCCATGTAGAACTACCCCTCACTACCCCCATGACTACCCCCATGTTCCCTTAGGGACTCCTCTGGGGAACCGGGGGGGGGGGGGAGGGGGGGGACAAGCAGACCTCCTGGAGCTCCATTCTCCTTTGTGCATGTTACCTTGTAGCTGATGCAGCACTCCTGGGCAGTATCTGCACCAACCCTGGACCCTGCGAAGCTTCTGGAAGAATTCCCACGTTGGCTAGAAAAGCTGTCAGCGCGCCATCAGGGCAGCATCCTCATCGTCATCGATTCCATCGATCAGGTGCAGGTACAGGTGTCCCCTGCCTTTCCATCAGCACCCGCTCCCCCCCCCCCCCCCCCCCCACGGAAAGGAAGACAGACACGCTGCCCACTCGAGGCTCTGGCAGGAATCTAAGGTCTATGCTGGCAGGAAGTGGTTGCTGCTGTTCCTTGATCTGCAGGACGATGAGGTTAGCTGTGGGATCTTAGTGGAGAGGAGAGCGCTAGGACGCCTGCGCCCATTCTGACGAGGAAGCCTGTGGAAAAGCCCGAATGTGTTCCTGTCTGCCAGCACCGTCTCCTTAGAAGAGACCAAAAGCATTTTACACTGTTAGCAAAAACTACTTCTTTTGATATATTTTAGGGCATGCGCACAGATATGTGTGTGTGTGTGTGTGTGTGTGTACGCTGATACCAGCACTTGAACTCAGGGCCCCATACTCAGTTTGCTTGCTTGCTCATTGCTGGCACTCCACCACTTGAGACATACCTCCAATCTGGCTTTTTGCCGATTAACAGGAGATAGAGTACCACGGGTTTTTCTGCACAGCCTGGCTTTGAACTGGAATCCCCTGGATCATAGTCTCCTAAGTAGCTATGATCATAGGCGTCCACCCCCAAATAAGATTTTTATCCCTACTCATTGAAGGGACACCTAAGAAGAATTGGATTGTTCATCAGGGGGACTCTTCTTACATTGCGTTGAAATACTCTGATTAGTCGTCCGCCTTCCGTTCTCATGTTCTGCAGCAAGTAGACAAGCACATGAGCTGGCTGATCGATCCACTGCCGGTGAATGTCAGAGTCGTGGTTTCCGTGAATGTGGAAACATGCCCTGCAGCCTGGAGGTACACTGACTTTAGGGCGCTTCCCTTCCGTGGAATGCTAGGAGGAAAAACAAAGAAAAGCCTTTTTTGTGTGTGCTTTTATTTTATTTTTGTCAGTTGTGAGTGTTGAACTCTGGGCCTGGGCACTGTCCCTGAGTTCTTCAGCTGAAGGTGAGCGTTCTACCACTTGAGCCACGGCGCCGTTTTAGTTTTCTGGTGGTTCACTGGAAATGAGAGTCTCACAGACTTCCCTGCCCAGGCTAGCTTTGAACTGCAATCCTCAGATCTCAGCCACTTGAATAGCTAGGGTGATAGGCGTGAGCCACCGGCGCCCAGCGGGTATATTTTTTTGAATGTGGTTGAATTGCATTGCCAATGTTAGATCGGAGGAAATGGTGTTGAATCTATGGTTAAGAAAAATTGGAGCCGGGCGCTGGTGGCTCACGCCTGCAATCCTAGCTACTCAGGAGGCTGAGATCTGAGGATCGCAGTTCAAAGCCAGCCCGGGCAGGAGAGACCGTGAGACTCCTATCTCCAATAAAAACCACCAGAAAACCGAAAGTGGCGCTGTAGCTCAAGTGGTAGAGAGCTCGCCTTGAGCTGAAGAGTTCAAGCCCCACGACTGACCAAAAAAAAAAAAAAAGAAAGAAAAATTGGGAGGGGCTGAGAATGTGGCTCAGTGGTAGAGCGCTTGCCTTGCATGCTCGAGGCCCTGGGTTCGATTCCTCAGCACTACATAAGCAAAAAAGAAAAAAGCTGGAAGTGGCACTGTGGCTCAAGTGGTAGAGTGCTAGCCTTGAGCTGAAGAGCTGAGGGACAGCGCCCAGGCCCAGAGTTCAGGACCCACGACCGTAACAAAAAAAAAAAAAAAGAAAAGAAAAATTGTGGAAAGGGGCTAGGAATTCCAATCTAATAGAATTTTCGTTTTTCTTTTCTTTAAATAAAAGGTTGTGGCCTACGCTTCATCTTGACCCCTTAAATCCAAAAGATGCAAAACGTATAATAGTGGCCGAATGTCAATCTGTGGACATCATGCTGTGCAAAGAACAGGTGAGGGTTTTACATTTTGATGCCAGCTTCCATCTTCGTTGGCTTTCTGAGAAAATACCTAATGTCATAGTTAAATTCAGGATAAGCCTGTTGTTCCAAAGAAATGGGAATGTAGTAGTAACTTTGGTAAATGCATTCCTTCCCTCTTTAACGATATTAAACCATGAAAAAGATTCTGGATATGGAGCCAGACATGCTACTTCATGCTATGATCCTAGCTTCTCAGGAGGCTGAGCTCTGAGGGTCGCGATTCAAAGCCAGCCCAGGCAGGAAAGTCCATTGAGACTCTTATCTCCAGTGAACCACCAGAATCGGAAGTGGCGCTGTGGCTCAAGTGGTAGAGCGTTCACCTCAAGCTGAAGAGCTTGAGGGACCAGAGTTCAAGACCCACAACTGATCAAAGTAAAAGCGCCTTTTCCCATTGGCTGTATCTGCTGCGTGCAGCTGGGTGGCTGTCTCTGAGCAAGTGGCCTAAGGCCAGAGTTGTGCTTAGGTTTGTGTGAGGCGCACGGGTGGAGGCTGCTTCATTCTGGGTCTCGGTGTTTCTTTCCTCTCTGTCTCTCTGGCGGCGTGGGCAGGAGCAGCAGCTGGAGAGGCACTGTCGCTCGGCTACCACCTGTAATCCCCTGCACGTCACTCTTCTTGGCAAAATGATGGCTCGGTAAGTGCTGGTGACCCTTCATGGCCGTCTGTGTGTTTTGTGATCCCCGCGCCCTCGGGCCTAGTGCTGTGAGCCAAGGGCTTTCCCCACCCGTGGCGCTCCCCCAGGCGGCCACCAAGCTTCCCACCTGCCTGAGCCCCACCAGCCTCCCAGCATCCATGGACAGCTCTGATTTTCCACACACTGACCCTTTTGCCTACCGGGTTGCAAAAGGCCTCTTCCCACGCAAGTGGGGCCACGCGGGAGACTCCTTCCCGCCAGCTAAGCTCACGGGAACATGAGGAGTAAGTTGAGTTATAAAGAAAGATGTTACTTTGTGACCGCAGGTGTGCCTCAGGTGGCAGAGTGGCTGCCCAGCACCTGTGCGGTCCTGAGTTCAAACCTCAGTACCGCCAACAATAATAAATCAGGGAGGGAAAGAGGCTGAAAAGCCGAGAAGGGGGGAGCTAGGCACTGGTGGCTCATGCCTGTCATCCTACCTACTCAGGACGCTGAGATCTGAGGATCGCACGCAGGAAAGTTCCCATGAGACTCTAATCTCCAGTGAACCAGCAGAAAACCAGAAGTGGCGCTGTGGCTCAAGTAGTAGAGTGTTCACCTTGAGCTGAAGAGCTGAGGGACAGCGCCCAGGCCCACAGTAAAGCCCCATGACTGACAAAAAATAAAAAAAGCTCAGGGACAGAACCCACACCCTGAGTTCAAGCCCCAGGACTGGCCAGAAAGAAAAAAAGAAAATCGCAGGAGTAGTGTGGTGTTCATGCACCAGAGTACTTAGCAATCACTGAACATAGATCTTGCCCGTGTTTACTGTCTTGAATCAGATGGTGTGCTAAAAAAAAACCCAGGTCCCCCCAAACAGTCATCTGGCCCTATCTTCTTGGTTAGCACCTGTTACACAGTTGCCACGCAAATTCCCAACATCGCCTTGTGTTAATATTCTGCAAATTTTCACCCTTGTCGCCAGTCTGTAAGAAAACAAAATGCATTCTCCATTCCAACAGTGCGGGGAGAGCGGGCAGCCTGGATGCGGTGCTCTGCCAGTGTCTGCAGTGTGAAGACACCGTGTCCTTATACAGGCTCATCCTGCGCTCCGTCCACGACTCCTTGCCAGAAGAGGGCCACAGAGAGCTGATGAGACAGGTAAGCTGCACCCCACATCAGGAGGGAAGGACGCTCACCCCGTCCCAGCTACATGGATTGAAGTAAACCAGCTCTCTTATTGTGTCATTAAACAGACATCACGCATATATACGAGTTCTGGGGTGCTCACTGAAATGCCTTCCTCTTGTTGAGCGTTCATTTTGTCTTCATTGATGTCCTTCCTTCTCATGTGGATGGCTGGTTCAGGTCCTTCACCTCATTTTTAATTGGGTTGTCTTCTGACTGGTTGTCTTCTTAGTGTGTGTCATGTGACTAACGGATGGTTCTTTTTATGAACCAAGTGTATCTTCTGCACGGGTGTGGATACTGCCCGTCAAAGGTCTAACTCTCACATGACACTGAGTTTGTTTCTGGGCCCCTTGTCTCCAGCTTTGCCTATTTGCCAATATCACACTAAGTTACTAGAGCTGTAAGCATTCATTCACAGATGGTTTGATAACTCCTTGTCTTATTACTCTTCATAGCTTGGATTAATTTTCTGTAGTTTTAGAGTACACCTGGACATGAGCAGGTCAGGGGAAGTTGAGGCAGAAGACAAACAATACTTATCCAGTTTTATAAACAAAACATGCTCTGCAAGTACCACCGGAACTCATTTCAGAATCTGCGAATGGTACTTGACCTTAAAAGATTCATTTAGGGAGAATGAGCGGAGCCTTCATGGAAAGCAGCTAAGTCAGTCTCCAGTGCCGAGCCTCTATCTTCTGTCGCTCCTCTCAGTAATATTTTATCATCTTCCACGGTGCTGCGCACCTCATTTAACAGTTGTTTCTGAAGACTAGGGCCTGGCTCTGGGAGTCGAGCACCTTCCTAGCAAGCACAAGGCTCCAAGTTCAAGGTCCAACACCACCCATTTTGTTGTTGCTGTTGTTGACTCTGCCGTTGTTTGTGAATATATATTCCACCCTGCTTGCTCATAGCTGATGTTCTAAATGTTTGAGTCACATGTCCAGCTCAATACATTCAACTGTGATTTTTATTTTTGGAAATTAGTATCTAAGCACCTTGCTGAACTCAGAATTTGAAGCAGGATCCATTTGTGGGTTGATTTCTCAGCTTTGATGAATCCGGGGCAGGCGTGCTTCTTCCTGTCCCCGGTGCCCATGGCAGATGAGGTCTGCTCACAGAAGAGGGGATCCCGCAGCTCTGACTGGGCAGGCGTTCCTGCCGGAATCCCCGGCCCCGACTGAGCTCTCCTCTTCCCTCCCACTGTGGGCATGAAACCCAAGGCCTGGAGTGATCCCGACTTGCCCCACTCACATCAGCTCCAGCACCAGCCACTCTCATCCCTGATCAACACAAGAAGCCACAGAAGGCCTTTGAAATCTGTTATTACTTTTTTTTTTTTGTCAGTCGTAGGGCTTGAACTCTGGGCCTGGGCGCTATCCCTCAGCTCTTCAGCTCAAGGCTAGCACTCTACCACTTGAGCCACAGCGCCACTTCTACGGTTTTCTGATAGTTCATTGGAGAAAAGAGTCTCACGGGGACTTTCTTACCTGAGCTGCCTTTGAATCATGATCCTCAGATCTCAGTGTCCTGAGTAGTAGCTAGGATGACAGGCGTGAGCCACTGGCGCCCAGCTTCTGTCATTACTTTTAAGAACACGTGTCATGCAATTTTAATTTTTACCAAGTTATTTTCTCTATGTCGTCAATCTTGGGTGTCTGTTGTACACATGCGCTTTGTTGCAGGAAACCTGCTTTTGTTTTGGGGGAGCTTTTGGTGGGGTATTTTTTTTTTTGTTTTAATTTACTGATCGTTAGAATAACAAGTTGAGGTAAAACAAAAAATGTAATCAGCTTAAGACTCTTGGCAATCTTCCTGGTGGCTGGATACTTGCAGAGGTGCTTGGCAACCATCATTTGTGCGTTCTCTGCCTAGATCCTCTGCCTGGTCAGTATTAGCCACAATGGCCTGAGCGAGTCGGAGCTAATGGAGCTCTATCCCGAGATGACCTGGGCTGGGCTGACCTCCCTCATCCACAGCCTTCACCAGCTGTGTCTGTTGACATACGGCTGTGGGCTACTCAGATTTCAGCATCTGCAGGTGAGTGATATTTCAAGCTTTTTTTTTTTTTGGTCCAACACTGGGACTTGAACTTGGTTACCTGACACTTTTGCTCTCTGGCTCGTGCTCTATCACCGGAGCCACACCTCCAACCCCTCAAACATCTTTGACTAAGATCTGTAATTGATAGGTGGCAATGTATCATTCCACATTACAGTGTATGAGATCTGAGGAGGGTGGTTTGAAGCCAGCCCAGGCAGGATGAGACCCTATTTCTTGTCATTTTTTGCCAGTCCTGGGACTTGAACTCAGGGCCTGGGCACTGTCCCTGTGCTTCTTTTGGCTCAAGGCTAGCACTCTACCACTTGAGTCACAGCACCACTTCTGGCTTTATCTGAGTAGTTTATTGAAAATAAGAGTCTCAGGGTTAATGAAATACGGTTCTTTTTTCATGAAAGGTAGTATTAAGAGCAAATGTCCTCCAACATTTGTTATTTGGATTGACAATGTAGCCAAGCCTTATTGAGGCAATATAGACTCTGAAGACTTGCAATTGTTATTCCTCTGTATGTTGTCTCTATTGTCATAGACAAGTAAATTAATCTTTTAAAAAAAAAAAAAAAAAAAGAGTCTCAGGGATTTTTCTGCCTGGGCTGGCTTTGAACTGTGATCCTCAGATCTCAGCCTCCTGAGTAACTAGGATGACATATTTGAGCCACTGGCACCCAGCTGTGAGATTCTTATCTATATATATTAGATATACTATGTCTATATATTATCTCTATATATTAGACTTATATATATTTGTGTAATATACATAAATGTATATATAAGATACATATGTAAGATAAATTTACATAAGATACATAAATATATATACATATTTAAACAGGGCTGGAGGCGTGGCTCACGTGGTAGAACACAAGGAAAAATGGATTAACAAAAAGCTTGCATTAAAATTGTGCCTTGAGTTCTTAAACCAATCATTTAGGAAATTTTACTCAAATATATCACATGACTGTAGCCTGGATTTAAAAATACTGTGAGGCCATTTCTAGTATAAGACTACGGAGGTGAAATCATTTATAAATTCCTCGGCATCCACTTGTCAAATGTCTTCTCGACCAGTGGTACTTTGTGACCAGTGGTACTTTGTGGTACGAACTCTGTTTTGGGTTCAGTAGAGTCCAGCGTTGTTGTTTTCTCATTCTCAGGCCTGGGAAACAGTGCGGCTGGAGTACATGGATGGGCCCCAGGCCATCTCTTCCTACCGGCAAAAGCTGATTAGCTACTTCACCCTGCAGCTAAGGTGAGGAAACCTCTGTGCGTGCTTGTAACTTCTGCCTGCTCTCGCTGTGTGTCCTCACCTCTCTATGCAGAAAAACTTCTTACCCAAAGGGAAAAAACACCACCACCAAAAGTAAGATCCTTTCCCGATTAGTGCCAAAAGAGTGAAAAATGACTCTGTGTGCAAGTCTTCTCGTGTTATGTTAAAGGTTAAGGTGAAATCTTTGCAGGACCATTTTATTTATTTTATTCTTTTAAATGTGTGCATCTATCTCTGTGTATTTGGAGTTATTGAAGGTTTAAAAAGAAAAAAAAAAGCTCAATTTGATAAAAATCCCTTTTAAGTATCACGTTTTAGCGCCCTGGGTTTTAGCTTCTTTTAGTGTGCTCCAGTCTTGTATCTTCTTCCCCATCAATGTCCAATAGTTGAGATGATCATTGACTTTATATTTTATATGAAGATTAGTAAAGTTTGTGATATCTTCGTGGGAGAGGCAGGACTGAGATTTGAACTTGGGGTCTCATTCTCTCAGTTTTCTTCCTCATGGCTGGCACTCTACCCCTTGAACCAGATCTCTAGTCTGGCATTTTTTGGTCAATTGCGGGACTTGAACTCTTGTCCTGGGCGCTGTCCCTCAGCTCTTCAGCTCAAGGCTCTATCACTTGACCCACAGCACCATTCTGGTTTTCTGGTGGTTCACTGGAGATAAGGGTCTCACAGACTTTCCTGCCCGAGCTGGCTTTGAACCGCGATCCTCAGAGCTCAGCCTCCTGAGTAGCTGGGGTGACAGGCATGAGCCACCGGCGCCCAGCTTCAGTCTGGCTTTCTTTCCTTTTTCCTGGTTCATTGGTGATGAACGGCTCACAGACTTTTCTGTCTACACTGGCATTGAACTTCAGTCTCCCAGAGCTCATCTTCCTGTCACTAGAATGACAGGCATCGGTGCTGGCTGAGTTTCTGCTTTGGCATTCCTTTCTCTGCGTGGGATTACGCATAGAGTCAGGCACGTGGGGTGATGGGTGGTTCCTCCTCCACTGTCCCTCTGAAGACAGGCGAGGGTGGGGGGAGTTGTGTACGAAGCAGTCACTGAGCATGCTCCATCCTCTCTCCAGTCAGGACCGGGTGACCTGGCGGGGTGCAGATGAGCTGCCCTGGCTTCTCCAGCAGCAAGGAAGCGGCCATGAGCTGCAGGATTGCCTGCGGAACCTCCCCTTGGCTCAGAGCCTTTACAGACGGTAAGCAGCCCATTCTAGAACATCTCCCCCTCCCCCCACGGAGGCCTGCAGGAACCTCAGACACCGAGCCTTCAAACCAGACTCCGGATCCCAAAGGCAGTGGATTAAAGAAGGAATCGCCCCCATTCACACATACGTTCTTGCCCTGCACGTCTCTGCTGAGAGCGGGAGTTCTCCAGTGGCATCTTGTCACTAACCAAGTGTCTCACCTGCCAAACTTCAGGAAGGGATTTTTCTGACCCTTGGAAATCTAGACATTTGTCTTTAAAAAAGTTACTTAATTTGTTTTGGTCCTAAAGAAAGTTCTTTTTTTCATCCTGGAAATTACTGTGGTCCCCACTTTTTTTTTTTTTTTCTTGGTTGGTCGTGGGGCTTGAACTCTGGGCCTGGGCACTGTCCCTCAGCTCTTCAGCTCAAGGCTAACACCTACCACTTGAGCCACAGCGCTACTTCCAGCTTTTTCTGCTTATGTGGTGCTGAGGAATCAAACCCAGGGCCTCATGCATGCAAGGCAAGCACTCTACCACTGAGCCACCTTCCCAGCCCCTGTCTAGAATTCTTGACAGAAACAACTTGAGGGAGGAAGACTTATTTTGCACATGGCTTCAGAGGATACAGTCTGTGGTGGCTGGAACCAGTGCTCTAGGCGGGGGCAGAACATCATGGTGGGAGAAGGTGGACAATTTTCCCCTCATGGTGGACTGGAAGCCCGCCTCCTCCAGCCAGGCTCCACCCCCACTCCCAAGTGCCTTCAACCTCCCCAAACAGCGCCACCAGGTGGTGGCCGTGTGTGAGGAGTTCCTTGTCCAGGCCATAACAGCAACTGGTAACACCTCCCAGCACTCACCGTGGTGCTGAGATAGTGAGCTGGAGGAAGGGGGGCAAAGGGGGGGGGGGTTGGTCAGTCAGCCTGACCTCTGACCTCACCCCACTCTGCTGGTCCACAAAGGAACTGCCAGTAACTTCTTCCAAGTTGGTGGCTCACCTGGTGGCTGTCATTGGTTTGCCACAGAGGACACCTGGCTGAGCTACTCAGCTACTGGCAGTGTGTGGGCAAAGACAAAAGCTCCATGGCTGCAGAGTACTTCGACGCCCTGAAGCAGTATGAGAAGACCTGCGCCGGCGGCGACGGCCTGATCTGCCTGGCTGATCTCTACGAGACGCTGGGCCGCTTTCTCAAGGATCTGGGCCTCCTCAGCCAGGTGAGTCCAGGTGGGGGCTGGGGGAAGCCAAGGTGGGGGGCGGCTCTCCCCATTTACTCCTCTCGGGTCAGCCCTCTCTGATCCTTTTTTCCCCTCCGCCAGGCCGTGGTACCTCTGCAGCGGTCCCTAGAAATCCGAGAGACAGCTTTGGATCCAGACCACCCGAGAGTAGCCCAGTCTCTGCGCCAGCTGGCGAGCGTGTACGTGCAGTGGAAGAAGTTCGGGAACGCGGAGCAGCTGTACACACAGGCGCTGGAGATCTCCGAGAACGCCTATGGTGCCGGCCACCCACACACCGCCCGGGAGCTGGACGCGCTCGCAGCCCTGTGCCAGAAACAGAACAAGTATGGCCCGCAGCTGCGCAGTCTGGGCGTGCGTTGCGTTGAGTTGGGCTGGGCCTTAGACCCTCAGCATGGGGTAAACCAGCTAAACACCATGGATCTCCCCCCTCTCCCCCCCACCAAAGGACTCACTCAGCTCTGTTTTCTTGGGACTACTAAGCTGTGTAGACTGTCACTAGAATACCGCCAGATCACAAGCAAGAAAGGACCTGGGCTTTGTGTAAGGAGTGATTTTCATGTCACTGAAGTAAGACACCTTGAACTTGCGTGTGTTTGATCTGAGCTGCTTCTTCTCTCTTAAGATACGAACAAGCCGAGCATTTCAGGAAAAAGTCCTCTAAAATACGCCAGAAAGCTACAAGGAGGAAAAGCAACTTGGTAAGTATTTCTTTTGGGTTGAACTTTAGAGTATCATAACTGCAGAGAGGCTGTGTTTGAAGAGCTTCCTCTTTTAAAGCGACTTCCAGAGTCTGTCTTTTTTTTTTTTTTTTTTTGGTCGGTCATGGGGCTTGAACTCTGGGCCTGGGCGCTGTCCCTCAGCTCTTCAGCTCGATACGACCACTGTACCGCTTGAGCCACAGCGCCACTTCCAGTTTTCTGCTGGTTCATTGGAGATGAGAGTCTCACAGACTTTCCTGCCTGGGCTGGCTTTGTTTGAACTGTGATCCTCAAATCTCAGCCTCTTGAGTGTCTAGGATGACATGTTCTCCTCATCTCTTTTGAAGTACATTATGCTGTGTACTGACAAAATAGAATAGATAAATGGAATAGATAAATTTGAGACTATGTTTTGTTTTGTTTTGGTTGGTCATGGGGCTTGAACTCTGGGCCTGGGCGCTGTCCCTCAGCTCTTCAGCTCAAGGCGAGCGCTCTACCACCTGAGCCACAGCACCACTTCCGGCTTTTTTCTTTTTGCTTATGTGGTGCTGAGGAATCGAACCCAGGGCCTCAAGGCATGAGAGACAAGCACTCTACCACTGAGCCAGCTTCCCAGCACCCCCCTCTGATATATTCTTAATAGATTTGCTATGCTACTTAGTTAGCAGTCCTCTAGACAGAAGCGAGCAGCGGGAGAGCTCTTAGGTCGCTGCTGGTCTGTGGCTCGTGAGTCAGGTGCGGCGCCTAGCGCTTCCGTGTTTCCTCTGTTGGCTGCAGCGTGCATTTGCCCTCTTGCGGCGACGGGCCTTGCAGTTAGAAGAGCTCACTCTGGGCAAGGACACGCCCGACAGTGCCCGCACCCTCAATGAGCTGGGCGTCCTCTACTATCTGCAGAACAACCTGGGGTGAGTACCTCGCTGCTCACAACCAACGCGTCCAGTCAAACTAAGTACTCTTCAGGCTGAGGAGTCCAGAGCCAGAAGTGCACTGGGTCACTCCTCCATACCTTAGTGATGAGAGCTCACAGGAGAACAAACTATCAATGGAGGGAGCTGCAGCTGTGAACCGCAGTTTACCTAGGATATAAAGCAGGCAATCTGGCTTTATTTAGATTTCCGAATTAAAAATATGGATGTTGGGGCTGGGAAGGTGGCTCAGTGGTACAGTGCTTGCCTTGCATGCATGAGGCCCTGGGTTCGATTCCCCAGCACCACATAAGCAGAAAAAGCTGGAAGTGGCGCTGTGGCTCAAGTGGTAGAGCGCTCGCCTTGAGCTGAAGAGCTGAGGGACAGCGCCCAGACCCAGAGTTCAGGCCCCACGACTGACAAAAAGAAAGAAAAAAGTATGGATGTTGTCTGAATGCATAAATAGGTATTTATTTAGGCTTCTTTGGATGTCAAAGAACTAACAAGCGAAGAACTTCCCAAAAATGCAGTGCGTTGTCAGTCTGTGAGTAACTGAGGTCCGGTTGCCATGAGGGTTGTTTCGCAAGCAGCCTGTGGGTTTGTCTTTACAAGTGCAGCAGGGTGCACAAATCCTTGGCTGGAGCCGTGGATCAAGTAGAAGCAGCACTTACTGAACAAGCCTGAGACTCTGGGTTCAAATCTCTACTACTTCCCCCTACCTTCCCCGCTCCAAAAACAAAATCAACAAATGAAACTGATTCCATTTTGTACATTGTTAAGGCAGTAGAGGTCTCCGATCGCTAGAGAATCAGTTGCTGAAGCTCTTTTGGGTTTTGCTCCTAGCACAGCTGAGCAGTTTCTGAGGCGCTCCTTAGAAATGAGGGAACGTGTCCTAGGGCCCGAGCACCCCGACTGTGCCCAGTCACTCAACAACCTGGCAGCGATCTGCAATGAAAAGAAGCAGTACGACAAGGCAGCAGAGCTGTACGAGAGGGCACTGGAGCTGCGGCGGCGTGCGCTCGCTCCTGACCACCCGTCTCTGGCCTACACAGCAAAGCATCTAGCAATCTTGTATAAGAAAATGGTAAGCCCGGCGCCGCGGCTCACGCCTGTCATCCTAATTACTCAGGAGGTTGAGATCTGAGGATCGCAGTTCAAAGCCAGCCCAAGCAAGGAAAGTCTGTGAGACTCTTTATCTCCAATGAACCACCAGAAAACTGGAAGCGGCTCTGTGGCTCAAGTGGTAGAGCACTAGCCTAAAGCACAAATAGTCTCAGGGATAGCGCCCAGGCCCAGAGTTCAAGCCCCACAAAAAAGTATGTTTCTCTTTGGACAGCGTCACCCCTTCCCTTGCTCTCTCCTAGTTTTTCACTATCTAGAACACTTCACAAATGTGCAGGTCATTCCCACACAGGGGCCATACTAAACTTCTCTGCATTGTTCCGACGTTAGTCCACATGATACTACAGCAAACGGTTTTCTTTTTTAAGACAAGGTCTTCTATGTAGCCTGGGCCCCAGCATCACAGTTCTTTTGCCTCAACCCCCTGATGACCGATTCTATGTATGGGGCTGTTCTGATCGACTAGTATTTATTGTCTTAACTGTTTTCAATATACATTTATTTATTTATTTTATAGGGAAAACTTAACAAAGCCGTCCCTCTGTATGAACTGGCCGTCGAAATTCGTCAGAAATCCTTTGGCTCAAAGCATCCTAGCGTAGCCACTGCCTTGGTGAACTTAGCAGTGCTTTATAGCCAGATGGTAAGTTTAACTACTTTGTTCTCAGTGGTACCAGGGCCTTGAGCTTAGGAGACGGCACTCTTTAACACTTGAGCCAAACCTTCAGACCCCTGCCACCATCTCCCCACTCCCTGCCACACACTACTTTTCTTAAATCTCTTACCCTTTTCATATTGTATTGTTTTCAGAGAGGGGCTCACACTTTTTACTCAGGCTGGCCTCAGACTTCAATCCTCCTCTGGATGGGCTGGGGTCATGAACAGCCATGTCCGATCAACTTTCTACATCTAGGCTTTTTATAAGTGAAAGATTTTAACGTATTAATAATAATTTAAAAAAAAAAACAACCAGGGGCTGGGAAGGTGGCTCAGTGGTAGAGCGCTTGCCTTGCATGCATGAGGCCCTGGGTTCCATTCCTCAGCACCACATAAGCAAAAAAAGCCAGAAGTGGTACTGTGGCTCAAGTGGTAGAGCACTCGCCTTGAGCTGAAGAGCTGAGGGACAGCGCCGTCCAGGCCCTGAGTTCAAGCCCCACAACCAAAACAACAACATAAAAATCGGACAATGGCTGAGTAAAAATAAAGACAATTTAGGACTACTGTTTATCTACTGACACTTCTTTTTATAATACTTAAGCCATGAGTGAAATGGTATTTGTAAGGTCACCCCTTTCTGAACGTTGAAAACACCAACGGAGTGTTCAGTTCAGAGACAGGCTTCGTGTTTTTTCAGTTCTGGAGATTGCTGCGTCCGTGTGTGGAAGGAGCTGGCGGCTTCTGCCTATGGCGCCCACCCAGCAATAAAGACGCAGATTTTTAATGAATACTGTTGGCGTGAAAGTCAAAGGGGATGGGCCAGGTGTCAAATTCCAACTTCCATCATACTGCCTCTCCCCTGGCAACTCTTCCCAAGTCGTGCCGTTCTTTACTGTCTTTTTAGAATATACACGTCTTTAAAATGCTTACCAAAATAGTGATTGTACTATCACTTTGTTTTTTAAAATTATTTTAAATAAGAAAAAGCACACAGAGGCCTTGCCCTTATATGAACAAGCCTTGAAGATCTATGAAGCCAGCCTGGGGCGGATGCATCCTCGAGTCGGAGAAACTCTAAAAAACCTAGCTGTGCTCAGGTGAGGTCACGCACCTTCTCCTCCCCCCCCCCCCCCCCCCACTCCCCCGCTCACCATAGGACAGCACAGCACGCTCCTACGAGTGGCTTCTTCCGTAGAGGGGAAGGCTGGTTGGCAGTGGTCTCCATTTAAGACATCCAGAAGGAGATGCAGGTTGCAAGAAGGGAGGGTATCCTGGCAGGCAGCAGCCAGCAGGTGGGTCTACTTGCCACCCACAGTGTCCATTTGGTGCCCATAGGGCTGGCTCACTGGTCAGTACCTGCCGAGGGTCTGTGTGCTAGACGTGATCTGAGTGAATATACTAGAAAAAGGGGGGGGGAGGTGCGCGTAGGTATTCACAACTTTTTTTTATTATCCCATAAACTCATTTAAAAGTGTTTAAAAATGTTCTCATGTTTATCTCAAAAGTTACGAGGAAGGAGATTTTGAAAAAGCTGCAGAACTGTACAAAAGAGCAATGGAAATCAAAGAGTCAGAAACATCGCTGTTGGGTGGAAAAGCTCCTTCGAGACACTCATCAAGTGGAGACACAGCCAGTCTAAAAACCACGCACTCGGCTGGGCAAGGTGGCTCACGCCTGTAATCCCAGCCGCCCTGGAGGCTGAGGTGGAGAGGATCAAGACTCAAGGTGTGTGAACAAAGAAGTCCCAGTGAGCTCATCACAACCAAAGAAAAGCCAGGCACTGTGGTGCTACGTCGCCAAAGGAACCATAAATAGGAGGACTGCAGTCTGGGCCGGCCCAGATAAAAAGTGAGACCCTACTTGAAAAACAATGAAAGCAGAAAGTGCTGGAGCACGGGACTGTGGTCGGGGGCGAGGCCCTGAGTTCAGACCCCACTGCTGCCCACCCCACTTCAAAAAAAAAAAAAAACTTCATTTTCCTGCTTTCCCTCCTCAAGGACAAAGGGAATAGTAGAAACTACAAAGCTGAGCAACTGGGCAAAATAAGCATTTGGATTTTAAGCCTTCCTGTTTTGATTTTTACCAAGTATGATTTAAAGGCCATTCAGACGGAGTTGGTACCAGACTACACTGTGTCAGATGGGGTGCACTAACGGCATTACCAGAGTCTGCCGGTGCGTTAGTGTGAGCCAAGCCGGGGAGTGTTGTCTGTCTGTCTGTCTGGGAAGAGCAGGCACAGCGAGCGCACAGGGCTCGAGGACTTGTCTTTTCCTCTCGGGACCAACGCAGCCTCTCCAGCCATGCCCCACCTTTGCGTCCCCAGGGCAGTTGTATACCAGGTCTCTACCTCATCATGTGAAAGTGTCCGGGACTAACGGCATGCTGTCCAGAAGTGGTTGGGATTGATCTCCAGTGGAACAGGAAGTCCTCACTGCGACACTGTGCTTTTATTATTACTTGAGCTTTTCCCTCGGTGAGTCGCGGTGCCGGGCTTTGTGCGCGTGTCTCTGTGCTCTGTGGGAAGCGACAGCAGCCACGCGCCAGGCTCCGTGTTCTCCACCATCCTCCCAAGTGGCCTTCACCCAGCGGCGTCACCGCTCACCACCAACTCAAAGCAGTCTGCCCTTTTGATGCCAAACACTCAGTATCTTTATAGACTTGATGAATACCGTTTGGGGTATTGCTGGCTTTGTCATCCTTTGTGCATCTATACAAAGTCATCCATTTTAATACTGAGTCTACTAAAGGTGTGAAAGGTGTAAAAAACAAAAACCACCACCCCATACTTCACGGCTAGAACACCAAAGTGCAAACTGATTCAAGTTCTCTTTCCTTTCCCTATAAACAAGAGGATTGCCTTCTGCATAATGACTGGAGGAAGACGCTGCTGAGCGTTTTTCTTGAAGACTGGAACGCCGTGGGTGCTCGTGCAGTGTCTGTCTCTCAGTGCTTGGCCCCGAGGCCCCGCTCCTCCGGCTGGGCTAGGAACACATGTAGCAAGTTCTCAGGCCTGGGACATCCCAAGTGAGAATCTGCGCTTCAGCCAGGCCGCTCGGGAACACTCATGGGCCCATGCTTCAGTCACTGACATGTTACAAGAAACGGGGTGCTGGGTGCCCATGGCTCATGCCTGTCATCCTAGCTACTCAGGAGGCTGAGATCTGAGGATCACAGTTTAAAGCCAGCCCAGGCAGGAAAGTCCAAGACTCTTATCTCCAATGAACCACTCAGAAAACTGGAAGTGGTGCTGTGGCTCAAGTGGTAGAGCACTCGCCTTGAGCTGAAGAGCTGAGGGACAGCGCCCAGGCTCAGTTCAAGCCCCACAACAGACAAAAAAAAAAAAAAAAGGCTGAGAGAGCAAAGAAGATCAAATAGAAACGTAACATCTCGGAGTCTGCTACCTACCAAAGGAGTAGATAACTGGGTCCCCACGTACAGGAGACACTGGTTTTGTGGCTGTTGTGATGGTTTACTGTAGGTCTTAGTGGCGTCATTTAATGCTATAAATTAACAAGTGTATCACGTTAAAAGAAAAACAGTTCAATCTGTACACTCAAGAAGAACCTGGGGAAAAGCCTAAGAATAATATCTCTATTATAATAAATGCATATTATGTATAATATATATACAATGTATTATACATTGTGCATTAATATATAGTATATATTATACATAGTATAACAGTATACATTATAACTAAGCCAGTTCCTTCAGTCTGACAGTACCCTGTCTGTGGGGTACAAAAGTATCCTAAGTCCCCTATCTCCTCTGGACCAAGTGGCCTATGTAATGTGTGTTATATACATATTATATATTGTGTATATATTATGTATACTGTATGTATTATGCATACATATAATATGTTTAATATATACATCTAGTATATGCAGTATATGTATATATAAAATATACATATATACATACTGTATATAGTATGTATAATATATATATGTAGTGTGTATATATATATATATATATATACATATTGTATGTATATATTTTGTTCCTCCAAACCTTGACCTTAAGAAAACTTTGAAGAAGGTGCTAATAGTTCTTCAAAGTGACTCTACAGCAAAATTTAATTTTAGTTGGGGGAGGGGGATGATCACTATATATTTCAAAAGAATTAAACGTACAATATATAATTTGGTCACATTATTGTTTTGTTTATTGTGCTAGTGATAGGCACTGTTAAAATACTTGATGGAGACAGCCGTAACAGACACCATGTGTGCCTGTGTCAGGTCCTCCAACCGGAAAACTAGGTTCTCATTAAAATACCCCTTCACACGGAGAAAGGCGGGGCTCAGACACCTCAATCCTAAACTCAACTGGAGTTACAACCAACAAATCCCTGTCAATGCCTTCCGGAAAAGAAAGGGGAAAGATGAAAGTGTAACGGGAGGAATCCCAGCTTCCTTGGTAAGTATGAAGTTACTGCTCATCAGCATGGGCTCGCAATGTACAGCTGTCATGGGATGATACCTACAAGATCCTTACGGGAAGAAATCTGTAGGACATATTTTCCTACTACACAGAAAACCCATCTACTCAGCAGGCTGAGAACTGGAGGGATCTTGGTTCTAAGCCAGGGTAAGCAAAAAAGTCTGATACTCCAGCTCCAAAACTAATGGGAGGCGTGGCTCGCAGGGCTGAGTGGCAGCAAAGCAAGTGCAAGGCCTTGAGTTCAAGGCCCAGCAGCGGCTACGACTGCGTGTTATTTCTTGTTTTTCTTGAAGCCGCTGGCTCTGCATCCATCCATGCAAAGCTCCCTCAGCTGTCGTCATTCATAAGCGACGCCAGAGAAAACCCATTTATGTGAGTTTGCAACTTAGTAGGGAAACATCCTTCCGGGGAATGAACACGTCTGGTGGTCACTGGATGGGATGAGCAGCATTCACACGCACTGTGGGGCGGGATCCATGCGTGCCTCCCTGTGGGAAACCCCAGCTTTCACCTGTCTTGCAAACATGGAGCTCAGAGGTCTGGAAACCTTCCCACTGACGCCATGTGGCTGCTTTGTCATCAGGAAACACTGGAAGTTTCTATTTTACGGTGGGTCCAGGTCATAGTAGTGGACTGTGTCCTCCTTTCCTCCCGCCAGACACAGAGCTCGAAGTCATGTGTGGCAGGAGGCGGCCCGCTGCGCACAAGGGGAAAGTAACAGCCGCTGGAGCCTCACCAAGTACAACAGTGCGGTGCAGATGTGCGCCCTACGTTTTATTAGCTTTCTTTTTTCCTTTTTCTTTGCATTTCAAGGGAATAGTTTAAGCACAAAATGAACTACATGCCAGCCCACCAGCTATAGGTTCTTCATCTTGGCCATGAGGTCTTCCAAGCTCTCGCCAGAATCTTCCACTGCTACTCCAGGCGCAGGGTCTTGATGCTGTTCGCAGAAGAGGGGAACGTGTGAGCTCAGGGCCTGTGCAGAACAACCCTAGCCACATCCAAGGAGATGGAGGCCAGCTTTCCTCTCATAGACATGCGCAGCAATTGTTAGCAGAAACAGAGGTTTCTCCAAGGCCCATGCCCATGCCTTCACAAAGGTGTTTCCACCAGCATAGTTTTAAAACATAGTTAAAATAACCAATGTAAAAAAGAAAAATCCTCAGTCAAAAAACTTATACAGTTGGACACTATGGCTCACGCCTGTCACCCTCGCTACTCAGGAGGCTGAGATCTGAGGATTGCTGTTCAAAGCCAGCCTGGGCAGGAAAGTGCAGGAGACTCTGATCTCCAATGCACCACCAGAAAACCGGAAGTGGCACTGTGGCTCAAGTGGTAGAGTGCTCACCTTGAGCACAAAAAGGTTCAGGGATAGCTCCCAGGCCCTGAGTTCAGGTCCCATGACTGATTAAAAAAAAAATTAGACATTGAGTAAACAGAAGCATTTTATGTCTGTCTTCAAAGAACTTCAAGTGAGCCAAACAAAAACCCCCACATTAACACTGAACACCCCTTTCTCTCATCTTAAAGCCAATGCTGTAAGATACCCACCACACTGACTCTTCAACATCACAGGCAGAAGCAAAAGGGAAGCCCACATTTTCCCTGCCCACCACTGACTTACGAGCAACCCGGGTTTGACAAGCACCTGTGTGGGGAGAGTGTATGCCACTGTGATGCCTTTGGGCAAGTCGGGCACTGGACCTGAAGACTTCCTCAGCTCCTCTTCCGACACCTCAGACACCAGCTCTATACCTGTGCAAGGACGATCAGGAAGAAACACCTTCACCAAGGCGGGCACTGTCACCACCCAATTGGTCTTCTATTCACAGCACAGGAAATGTGACAGGAAGCTACAAGTCAACGTGTCAAAGAACACCCACCCCACTCATTGTCCTCGTGCACGACCTCTTCCTCCTCCTCCTCCCCCTGGCCGGCCTCCGGCGTGCGCTGCTCAGCCGCCTTTCTCTGCAAAATCAAACAGCCAGTTTCCACTTCCTCACGTCTCTGAACCATGAGAGATTCACCCAGGTCCTCTATCTTAGCAACACCCAGAAAGGACTTTAAAAATATACTAAATAGCCAAGCACTGGTGGCTCACGCCTGTCATCCTAGCTACTTAAGAGGCTGAGATCTGAGGATGGCAGTTCAAAGCCAGCCTGGGCAGGAAAGTCCAAGAGACTCTTACCCCCAATAAACCACTCAGAAAATTGGAATTGACACTGTGGCTCAAGTGGTAGAGTACTTGCCTTGAGCTGAAGAGCTGAGGGACAGCACCCAGGCCCAGAGTTCACAGAAAGAAAAAAAAAAGCGGGGAGGGCAAGATGGAAAGAGTTACAGAGGGTGAAGTTGATTAGGATATGTTGTATTCATGTGTGGAAATGTCACAATGAAACCCCTTGTTCAACTAATACTCATTTTAAAAAACCTGAGCCCATTTATCTTGATCCCAAGTGTGCTTTTTTGTGTTTTTGCCAGTCCTGGGACTTGAACTCAGGGCCTGGGCGCTGTCCCTGAGCTCTTTTGTTCAAGGCAAGCGCTCTACCACTTGAGCCACAGCGCCACTTCTGGTTTTCTGGTGGTTCATTGGAGATAAGAGTCTCATAGGGAATTTCCTGCCTGGGCTGGCTTTGAACCGTGATCCTCAGATCTCAGCCTCCTGAGTAGCTAGGATGGCAGGCGTGTGTGCTTGTCTTTCCCATCGCTGATGGAGGCAGAACAAGCCCGGGGTGGGGGCGGGGCATGTGGGGTGGGGGCGGGGCGTGCAGGGTGGGGGCGGGGCGTGCGTACCTCATGCTCCTCCTGCCGCCTCCTGCAGTTGCGGTCATTGCACTGGGGGTTTGGCTTCATGGACATCGTGGGGAAGAAATCCTGCATCGCATTGTAGCCCAGGTAGAAGCTGATGGTGCCAAAGTTTAACAGAAACCTAGAGAAACAAACCACACAAGTGACAGAAATGAACACTGCACAGGTGCTCCGGCTGCCCAGAGATGTGTGATGCAAAAATACCAGTGCCAAATGACCTTGTACCCGTGCCCATGCCACACGTGTTTCCATGTGCAATATGAATACATTCAACATTTCTGCATAAACAGACGTGTATGCATAAATAAAAAGTATGAGCTGGTGGCTCACGCCTATCATCCTAACTACTTAGGAGGCTGAGATCTGAGGATCGTGGTTCAAAGCCAGCCCAGGCAGGAAAGTCCAAGACTCTTATCTCCAATAAATCACCAGAAAATCGGAAGTAGTGTTGTGGCTCAAGTGGTAGAGCGCTTGCCTTGAGCTGAAGAGCTGAGGGACAGCACCCAGGCCCAGAGTTCAAGACCCATGACAGGCAAATAAAAACTACACACACCTATTTATGATAAAAACACACACTACCATACACATCTATCAAAAACTTGTGTAACATGAAGTTTTAACGGCCTAATAAAAATGCCAATTGAGTTAAGCGCGGGCGGTTGTAATATGTCCTGAGGTTAACTCCGTGTTTGCCAGACACAAACACGGCCACGTGTGGGCCGGGCTACACTTACTTGAGCACGTTCTGCACCAGGACACCCGCCACCACCCCCATGGTGGTCGGGAGGCTGGCAGCGCACACGCCATCGCGCTTCAGCGTCTTCTCGTCCATGTTCGCCGCAACTACCAGTGGCGGAGCGCACTGCATGAGAGAGCATGAGAGCAATTTCAAAAGCGGGGAAGTATAGCATGTGTGCTAAGTCC